TTTCATTGTTTAGGTGTTTATTTCTTTGTTATTTTAATTGTTAATTATTTTATTTCAATTGTTTATGTAATTATGTAATTCAATTGTTTATTTAGTTAATATGTAATTAATTATTTAATTGAATTGTTTATTTTTCTGTTCATTTAATATTGAATAGATAATCTAAATCATGATTATTATTTATTTACATTGGCCAAGTATTGCTATAACATGGGAAGAATTAATACTGGGTCGATATTTTTTTATTGAGAAAGATGAAGATAATTGATTCAAGTATTTCTTTATGGCCCTTGAACAATGCGTTCGAGGATTTCAAAACGTAATAGACCCCTAATCCTAGTCGACGGTACAACTCTTAAGGCGAGATACGGAGGTAAGTTGATTATTACAACATGTCAAGATGTCAATATTCAAATTTACCCTCTTGCATTCGGTATAGTTGACGGAGAAAATAATCTAGCGATGAGTTGGTTTTTCACGAAGTTGAGGGAAGTAATTGGGGATATCGAAAATCTTGCATTCGTAACCAATCGAGGACAATCAATAATAAATGGTATCGTCGAAGTCTCCCCGAGGCACATCATGATTATTGTATGTACCATATACAGGAAAACTTGAAAACCAGGTATCGAGGCAAGGGCATCGTTGCGTTGTTTAGACGAGTTGCAGAGGCTTACAGTTTTGAAGAGTTTTGAGAAGTTTATGGTCGATATAGACAGAAAATCACATGCTGCATGGAAGTATCTAACTGAGATGGGGATCGAATATTGGGCACGATCACATTTCTCAGGACGTCGATACAACATGATGACGTCGAACAATACAGAGTCGCTTAACGCTTTATTCAAGAAAGATAGAGAGTTACCAATTCTCGCAATGATTGAGAACATTCGTGATAAGTTACAACAGTGGTTTCATGATCGATGTGAGGAATCACAAAGTTGTACAAGTATGCTAACTCTGGCTCAGAAAAATAAACTCTTCAAAACTCTAGATGTAGCGAGAAAGGTATATGTAGAACCACTAAATCAGTTTCGCTTCTCCGTGAGATGTGCACGTAATTTTGGATATACCGTGGACTTGAATGATAACACGTGCACGTGTAGACAGTTTCAATTGAAGAGTTTTCCGTGTACACATGCAATGGCAGTGGCTATGCATAGAGGATTTCCACCACACACCTTATGCAGTGCGCATTACATGACTGATTATTAGATAGCAGTGTATGCGGAAACAATATTTCATGTACCAAACGAAGTTGAGTGGGAAGTTCCCGATCACATTCTCCCGCTGAATAACTTGTTGCCACCAGCAGTCGAACCACGTACTCCTGAACGTACACGTACGTCTAGAATATCATCTACTGAAAAGTTTTTCTAGCCTCGTAAGTGCGATAGGTGTGGTGCAACATGACATACTAGAAGATATTGTACAAGTCAGATTCATCTACATGACAATGTAACAGATGTGTAAATTTACATTTGTTAATAATTATTGACAATGTAATTATTTCTAATATTAACGTTAATTATTTATGCATATTATTTATATTAATTATTAGATTTAGTTTTTTATTTAAACATTTCATTCACTAGTTTCATTCGTTACCCACATTATTTATATTAATTATTTGAAATCGTAGTATTCAAAATTTTTTAAACACACCGCGTTCTCCACAATACACACAAACATTATAAATAAACACATAAACTGTAAAATAAATAATTAAATATTACATAAATAATTAACATTTTATAATTCTTTCGTAATTACAAATGAATGAATGAAATGTATAATGTTTAAATATATGTAAAAATATGTACAATTGAAAGAAAAAAAATTCATTTCTACTTATTTGTGGCAGAGAACCAAAGCTTGTTCAATAAGCTAAAGGCACCAGACACCAGTAACTGTCGTCTGTCTACGAAAATATTCATTCAACAACCTCATGTTTCTCGAAACACGAGCCATCGCCTATTCTTCGTCCGTACATCACAGTCCAGTGACGAGGGCAAACTCAAATATGGAAAATGTCGCTACCTTGCCCCCAAGATCAAAATAGAGGGCGTCTCTGTCAACTGGCTTCAGCAACCGACATAGCAGGGCATCGAGTAGCTGCCCAGACCACTGTACATCACGTAACGAAAATAATGGCCATAAGTATGATCGACGTAATATGTCTGCATGCTCGTCATCCAGCAAATCAAATACCAAAGCGAGGCTGGTAAAGTTAAAATTCGACGTAACTTTACCAGGGATCTGTCTAACAGCGTCATCCAGACGATATTCCATCCTGCAAAATTTCAAATATTAGAACCATGTGCAAATATGTTTGATAAATCAAAATTTTTGTTTATATGTAATTGATAAACAAAAATAAACTAACACACTGTTACTATATGCAATAACCAACCGATAACGGAATAAAGGAATGAATGTAAATTACTATTTATCGTATATTTAATTTGCTAATTTGATTGATATTTTAATTTCCTAATTTAATTACTTATTTTTATTATTTTACAAATGTTTAAATATTTATTGAGATTTTTTATGTATGTTACTTATTTAATATTTAATTATTTCTTTTAATTATTTTACCGACACTTATTTTGATCGTTTATTTTAATAATATAACTGTTTATTTTAATTATTTTACTAACACTTAATTTAATTTTTTATTTTTAATTAATGTTTAAATACTTATTTTAATTCTTTATGCATGTTGCTTATTTAATATTTAAAAATTTATTTTAATTGCTTTCCAAAAAAATAATTTGATTGATATTTTAATTTCCTAATTTAGTTGCTTATTTTTATTATTTTACAAATGTTTAAATATTTATTTAAATTCTTTATGTATATTACTTATTTAATATTTAATTATTTTACTAACACTTATTTTGATTGTTTATTTTAATATTTTAATTGCTTATTTTAATTATTTTACTAACACTTTATTTAATTTTTTATTTTTAATTAATGTTTAAATACTTATTTTAATTCTTTATGCATATTTCTTATTTGATATTTAAAAATTTATTTTAATTACTTTGCAAAAAATTAATTTGATTGATATTTTAATTTCCTAATTTAATTGCTTATTTTTATTATTTTACAAAAGTTTAAATATTTATTTAAATTCTTTATGTATATTACTTGTTTAATATTTAATTATTTATTTTAATTATTTTACTAACACTTATTTTGATCGTTTATTTTAATATTTTCACTGCTTATTTTAATTATTTTACTAACACTTAATTTAATTATTTTTAATTAACGTTTAAATACTTATTTTAATTCTTTATGCATATTGCTTATTTAATATTTAAAAATTTATTTTAATTGATTTGTAAAAAATTAATTTGATTGATATTTTAATTTTCTAATTTAATTGCTTATTTTTAGTATTTTACAAATGTTTAAATATTTATTTAAATTCTTTATGTATATTACTTATTTAAAATTTAATTAATTATTTTAATTATTTTACTAACACTTATTTCAATCGTTTATTTTAATATTTTCATTGCTTATTTTAATTATTTTACTAACACTTAATTTAATTATTTATTTTTAATTAATGTTTAAATACTTATTTTAATTTTTTATGCATATTGCTTATTTAATGTTTAAAAATTTATTTTAATTGCATTGTAAAAAATTAATTTGATTGATATTTTAATGTTCTAATTTAATTGCTTATTTTTATTATTTTACAAATGTTTAAATATTTTTTAAAATTATTTATTTATATTATTTATTTAATATTTAATTATTTTACTAACACTTGTTTTGATCGTTTATTTTAATATTTTTATTGCTTTTAATTATTGTACTGACACTTAATTTAATTATTTATTTTTAATCAATGTTTAAATACAATTATGTTGCTTATTTAATATTTAAAAATTTATTTTAATTGCTTTGCAAAAAACTAATTTAATTGTTATTTTAATTTTCTAATTTAATTCTTATTTTTATTATTTTAGAAATGTTTAAATATTTATTTAAATTCGTTATGTATATTACTTATTTAATATTTAATTATTTTTTTAATTATTTTACTATTACTTAACATAAAATAAGTAATTAAACTAAATTAGCAAATAATAAATATTTAGATAAATAATAAAACATTTATATTAAACATTTCAAAGAAATAATTTTAAATATATAATATACATTAAAATTAAATAATTCAAATAAATAATTAAATATTAGACAACACAATATAAACAATTAAAGTAAATAATTAACTTCAATAATTAAAGGGAATAAATAAATACATAATTAAAAAAAATTGTCTGTGCTGTCCCATCACTGGCGGCGTGGCGCCCCGATGGCCCAGTTGACTGGGCCGTCCGTGCCAAGCGTCTCGTTCGTGGAGATTGCTGAAAATTTTCATTATCAACGATTTTCACTCCATTTTCCTCCTCCCAAATTATTATCCTTACCCAAATTTCACGTTTAAACCTTATACACAAGAATTTCTCAACACATGTACATAAATCATGTTTTTTTTTTTCAAAAATCAACATAAAAACATGCTTTTTTACCAAATCAAAAGCCGACCTTCTTCAGAGAAAAATGGCCAATTGGGTTGCTTGTTTTTCCTTTTTTATCGGTGACTGGATTGACGGTGCTGCAGTAATTTTCCTCTTTCCTTACTCTCTTCTTGAAATGGTAAGGATAAGTTTAGACTTTTTTTTTATTTTTCCTTAGTTTTCAAGATTTTAAATATTTTTTTTTATTAATTGGTCAAAGGCTTCTTCGAAAAAATGGCCGGGTCAACCGGCGTACACTATTCCCTCCGAAATCTCTTGATCAGTTCAGATTCGCTCGTAAAAACTCTCCGGGTCCCGCATGACCCGGCCCGTTGTCACTTAATCTACCAATAGTCTATCTCCACGTGCGTACACATGCCTGTGTCACCTAATGCAGCTTATCCCTCGCCAATAGGAAAAGTAGTTTTAATTAGAATTCCACTAGAATACAAATTCTCAAATAATTACCAGGTATAGGAGTCCCTTATTTTCTTTTTCCACAGCTCTTTCTTCTGTGTTGAAAATATATATATACATACACGTACATATAGAGATCTGAAATTCATCCTTCATCGATTCTTTTGGGATCCCAAGGTATATAAACATATGCTTTTATGTCGTATTCTTCTTTTTCCTGAAACTTTTTTTTTTTTTAGCATTTTACTGTAGAATGTTAATCATTATGTAGTTCTTGTTTTTCTGTGAAGGGTGTAATTGATTTCAAATAAGTCCTTTCCTTCAATTTTGTAATTTACTGGATTTAATTTCACATAATAAATGGGTCAATTTTTAATTTGGATTTTCTGATCTTTATTGTTAAAATTGATGCAGGTAGATTTCTATAGTTGAAGAAGCAATGGCGTTTAGTATGAAACAGATGTCTCTGATTGTGGCAACCTTTGGTATTCTGTCATTCATAGCTGGAGTCATTGCTGAAAACAAGAAGGTTGATTTTTCTTTTTTCTTTTTTTCTTTTTTTGTTTGTTTATAATTTTGGTTAATTGATCGAATGTAAATGCACCGAATTTTGGAACTCTAGGTTGCCTTTAGCATTTTCCTTTTTAGCTCCATTACTATATTTTCTTTTGTTATACTAGATTTAGATGCAAGGAGTATGACATGATTACATTTGTGCATATAATATGTCTCATGAAGATTCCCATTCTATGATGACATTCTTGGACAATAATAAGTTGAACTTATTTTGTTTTTATAGTTAGCAGCAAAGAGACTGATATTTCCATTATATTCGACAATCCTCTTGAGTAATAAAGGTGGAATGAACAAAATGTGGAAGCATTGAAATTAGAATTTTGTCTTTCCGTTGAATTGCCAATTGCATATTTGTTTGCAACCTCTTTTCTGTTTCTTAATCTACTTGAACTATACCAATATGTAACCTATGTTTCACATTTTCGTGTTTAAATGTCATCCAAGTACTTGTCATTATGCATCATATGTGTCTGTAACTATACTAAATCTCTAGTTTTTTTGTGGGGTGCACCTCAACACAAGCACAAACTGGAAATATTCCTTTAGAGGAATCTCTTTTATATAGGTCTGGATCTAAAAGATTTCAAAGCATAAAATGTTGTATTTTTCTTAGAATTTTTAGCAAATGATAGATTAGATAGTAATAAGTGATATGAGCAGAATTTGTATAACTTTTGAACTACCTTATTCAGATGATTATGTATTTTTCTATAATGCAACAATTGCCTTTTGTTTTCTGCTCTACTTGGATTTTACAGCCTGCTTCAGGAACTGTCATAACTGCAAAGGGCTTTGTTATTTGCAAGTATCCGTCCGATCCCACTGTAGTGTTGGGCTACTTGTCCGTTGGATTCCTTGCCCTCTGTACAGCGTTTGGTTATTTTTCTCTGTTTTACCCATACAAAGGGAAGTCAGTTCCACAGGCAGCTTTATTCCGAAGCACTAGCTTCCTTGTCTTCTTCAATATTGCCTTGTGAGTGAACTATTTGATTATATTGGTTACAGTCTGAGTATAAATTATTTATTTTAACAGCAAAGTAAGATTTACTTTCGAAATAAGTCTTTTCCTAGAAGTTATGTTTGAAACAAAAAGTTGCTTAAAAGTAATTTTTAACCTTTTTTAGCTTTGCCAAACATGATCTAATTTTATCTCCTTGATGCTCACTTTCTGCTGTTCACGCATTTGATATTTCCTTTTTTTTTTCTTTGCTCATGTTTGAAGGGGCGTGACTGGATTAGCTGCAACAATGTTGTTATGGCCAACAATCACAGAGCAGTTTCACCATGCTCGCAATATTCACCACAATCTTGAAACTCAATGTCCTACGGCTAAGACTGGACTTCTAGGTGGAGGTGCCTTTCTATCACTTGATTCTGCCCTTTTCTGGTTGGTTGCGCTGATGTTGGCTGACAATGCCCGGGAGGATTATTTTGAAGAATCAGGCGATAAAGATGCATCCAGTGAACCCATTAAGGGCAGTGTTTGAGTAGTCTTCTTATATAACTTGCATGTTTAAGCTCGCGGCTTTCACATTTGTGTATGGGTACTAAAAATGAATCTATTATCTGCTTTTCTCCTCTTTGATGGACATGGTTTCAGTTACATTAATGGAAGTACTAGTTCCACTTTCTCTTTCTTATGGAATTTTTTCCCTTTTTTTTCTTTCTTTTTATTATTATTATTTGGATCTCATGTAGAACACTTCTTTGGAAACTGTTTCTAGAAAACTCTAAAGTATGAATATGTTGTAGATTTAGCAGGATAAAAATTCTCTAATTTTTCTTTTGATATGTGGTAATATGTGCTACTTTTAGATATGTAAAGTGGTATAGCTTCGTCTGCGTAGGACAGCTTGGGCCTTGGTGCTCGTTGACACCCCTTGTTAAAGGGATGAAGTAAATAATTTGCTAATCAATAGTTTAACTCCATTTTATATGAGATAAATAAATTATTAATTTTTTAATTAAAAGAATGATAAACCATACAGTGGGGGCCCATTTTTTGTAATTGATGTTGAAAAATACTTCTTAAGATTACATGTGCATTCGTTGGTGAGAAACTAACCCTGTTGCTTTCTTATGAAAATGGTAAATTGCAAATTAAAGACTCAATCTTTGCTCAAAGTTGTGATTTTGTCCCCCGATTTTCGTTGCAATCTTATAATCAATCTTCTATGCGTCAGCAGAATTATAAAATTCTTGGAAAGGTAGGTTCGAATGGCAGTGCACAAACAATATACTTGAAGTTTATATGAAAATTTATTCTATCATCGAGATTGAGGATAACTTCAAATCTTTAATTTCATCGTGCGTACTCATAAATTTACTTGATGCTGGAACATGCTCATCTCACACGACTCTAAAAGTGTGACAATTTCTGGGTCTAATCCGAAACCTTAAGTTTAATTGTCACGTTCAAAAAGGTAGATAAGTGACGAAAATTTGATTGTCATACAAAATTCTGGATGAAATACAAATGAGGCAAAAAAAAAAAAAAAATTGCACGCCAGTATTTCACATAAAGACGATTATGGGATACTTGGACACGGAGAGTAATGAACTGAAGCCCGACAACAAAATATCAACATGCAAATTAGTTGTTCGTTTATGTATTAAATTGCATATTAGCTATTTGTTTCTCATTGCTTCCTACAACACAATTAAAAAATGATGGTGTGGATCAGAGATTGTTCATTATGGTGTAATCGCTATGGAGCACAATAAAATGTTAAGAGCATCTCCAATGAGACACCAAAATGCACCAAAATTTAGTGTAAAATGTCTTTAATGTAGTACCAAACTTTGCACCATTTGGTGCAAAATGGTGCAAAATCAATTTTACCCTTTCATTTGCCAAACAAATGAATGAAAAGGCATTTGTGCCACTTGTGTTATAAATTTTTCAATACAATAAATTATTATTATTATTATTATTATTATTATTATTATTATTATTATTATTATTATTATTATTATTATTATTATGTGCATTTAAATAGATTTTAATAATGTAGAAAATAATAGTTAATGAATTAATTAAAATAAGAATAAAAAAAATAAAATATAACAACACATGTTTATTTAAAATTTTTTGTAGTGATTCTCTTAATTATACTATATTTTTTTATATTTATTAATAAATTTAATATTTTTGTTAATTTAATGTAATTTTTATTTAGTAATTTATGTCTTTGTAAAATAAATAAATAAGTAATTTTTCAAATATATAAATTGTTAAAAATAAAAAAAGTAAAATAATGATTAAACACTATTGATTTGGTATAAATTTTAGTGTAATGATTGGATATAGTTTTTAATTTGGTGCAAGATTAAATGTAAAATGATGCAAATGTTACCTTAAATTTTGACGTAGAGTTGGAGATAGCCTAAAGTTAGTGCAATAGTGTGTGTAAATCCTCTGTTTGTGTACAATTTAAAAGTTAGTAAAAATTAAGTTTTTTTATTCAATTAAAATCAAACACTAATTTTAATATCTATAATTACTACTCATTTATTAATCACACTTTTCATAGATACAATACAATTCCTTTTAAAAATTTAATAAAAAATTTTACACGAGCACTTTGAATATACCTAGTGCTATTATGCACACGTGTAATGGGGTTATCTCATGTTCAGACTAATATGTTTTCTCCATGTCAAGTATTGAGTTTGTCTCTCCGAACCTACTTTTTTTTTTCTTGACAAAAATGCTTATGTTTAAATCAGTAAAAAAAATTAATTTTTTCTAATGTTTTAGGTCAACTAATGGATAAACCGATGGTTTCTGCCATTTTGTCATTCAGGTGGGAATTTTTCAAAGGCTTGGTATTGAGCGATACAAAGTGAAGATTGAAGTAAAATCTACGAGAGAAAAAGGAAAAAAAATTGGGATTGATACTACAATCATCCCCAACTTTCACTTAAAAAAAGCATCATTTTCCACTAGAAAGAAAGAGTTAATTGTTCTAATGGTCATTGAACTTATATCCATATCTTTGATTGGTCATTGAAATTTAAAATATCGAGTTTTGACTATTAAACTTTGAAAAATATTATACATTACTCATTAAATTTTGAAAAATATTGTACATTACTCACAGTAAACCCGATACTTTTCAAAATTCAACGATTATGCTAGTGAGTAATGTACGATATATTTCAAAGTTTAGTGGTCAAAACTTGACATTTTAAATTTCACTGAACAATCTTAGATATGGACCTAAGTTTAGTGAGAAATCAAAGACATTGACCTAAGTTCAGTGATCAAAACTCGATATTTTAAATTTCAGTGATCAATCAAAGACATAGACCAAAGTTCAGTTATCATCGAAACAATTAACTCAGAAAGAAAAGAACGCTAAAATAGGAGTGTAAGCTGTCCGATTTTACCAGTTTTTGATAAATTTTCAAACAAAATCGTTTAAACCGATTTGAGAAAAATTCAAATCTAAACCAAACCATTTTGAACGATTTGAAAAAAACTCAAATCCAAACCTAACGATTCGGTCCGATTTTAAACTGTCGATTTTGCCATATATCTCTTTGCATGTCTACTTTTATATCATTAATTTATTGAATTCAATATATAATATATATGTATGTCTTATTAGTAACAAATTTAAAACAAAATAAGCCCCCGTTTGAACCAGATTTTTGGGACAAAAAAATAAAAATTTGGACGGTTATCCCACAAGTCCAATCGCCTTTGTTAACCTGCTGTTTCATGTGTGAGATCCAGCCTCCTCTCCAACGATCAATTTTATCATTATGATGATATGGAAAATATGGCTCAAACATGGGCTAAATATATCTACTATAAATTTAAATACCAATTAAATTAAAGTGAAATCACTATAAATTAAAATATAGTTTTTTTTATTTTTGTTCACTTTTTTAGGTTAATGACGATACAATAACATTACAATACAAGTCAACTAAACTAAATATAAGGCCCAAAAAACACGATGATGTCCAACAAGACATCGTGATCATCATATCTGAAAAAATGGTACTGATTAGAAAAAGAGAATAACCAACCATAATAATAAAGCAATTATTTATAATATCTAAATATAACAATTACATAAGTTTACGTTTGTATGATGTTAGGAAACACATTTAATTTCAGATTCTTACCTTAGTTTGCTCAAAAAAAATTATTGATCTGAAACTTTATTCGTAGCAAATATGATCACCGAAAGTTTAGGATCTCTTTGTCTCCGATTTGGTATAATGAACTTCAATTCAACTTTGAAGAGGTTGAAAATTTTGAAAAAGAAGTGTGTGGTGCCGGTAGTTTAAGATTGTGTTCGGTGTCGGCTGAAGTTCATATAAATTCTGAAGAGGAAAATAGTTTTTGATAGATTATGTTAGTCTTGAAATTATTATATATAAATTAGGATTATTGGATAATAATAACATATTTGTATTAGAAAATTATAAATTGACAAAAATACTTACAAATGACAAAATTATTGAATTTTACATATTTGAATGAATTTTCAAAAAAAAACATTTTTTTATTTTTATATATTTCTTCGTCGGTTCGATATGATTTTAAACCGCAATTAAAATTCTCAAATTCAAACCAAACCGATTTTTGGTTTGGTTCAAATTTCAAATCCATTTCGTTGATCGAGTTCACGTGGTACCAAATCGACGATTTCTGTGATTTCCATTCAATTTTCCGATTTCAGGATTTTTGTTTACTGCACTACGCTAAAATATGGCCCAATCCACTTATTGTCGGTAATCGTCTTTCATTTTCATCCCTCAGAATATCTCAATCGTCCCGGCCACCCCCACCAAAAGGTCATTTTATAGGCCTGGTTATCAATCAATCTATACAGAAAGATATCTGGTTTATTGATGACACCTAGAACGCTAAATATCTGGTTTATCCAACGGATTTGAAACTAGGGTTAGGGTTGCGCTATCTTCTATTGAAATCAATCTTTGATATCACCATGTACAACGGAATCGGGTTGCAGACTGCTCGGGGATCCGGCACCAATGGATACATCCAGGCCAACAAGTTTTTCATCAGGCCGAAAACGAACAAAGTTGTCACCGACTCATCTAAGGGCTTCGAGATCGGCCAGGGAACTGCTGGTGTTACCGGGAAGGCCAATAAGGAGATCTTGGAGCATGACCGCAAGAGGAAGATCGAACTCAAGCTCCTTGTGTTGGAGGAGAAGTTGTCGGATCAGGGTTATACGGATGCTGAGGTTGCAGAGAAGCTTGATGAGGCTCGCAACACTCTTGAGGCAGCTGCTAAGGAGAATGAGGATGGGGGATCTAATGCTGTCGTTGTCTCAGACAAGTAAGTGTTTATAGTTCTTAAAAAATTATGATTTTTTTGTTTTTGATAATGTTGCCTTCTCCTTTTTTATGCATTGAATTGGGTGAATCTTTGAGGCAAATGGTGGAAATTAACAAGGATTATTGTACCATTGAGTTCAACTGTAAAATCCCAGCCGTCCAGATTATAAAATTCTTGGAGAGGTGAATTTGTATCGCAAACTGTTTAATGGAAGCACAAATTTTTATTGACTTTGCTTGGGTGTAAAAACAATGCCAATGGAACCATTTAAATTTTTTTTACATAATTTTGTGATTGAGTTAAAATTAGTGACCGATTATGCTGATAATCCATCTTCTAACCAAAGATTGCTGCCATGTTCAAGTCTGGGTTTGGGTACTTTATTATTTTTACAAACTGTAAATGTTAATTGTTCTGTGACCCCGTTTCAAAGTGAAACCATAGTAGGGACTGAGATAGAGACAACCACTTCAATATGGATTAGGTCTTTCATTCCGTTTTATTTCAATGATTCACCATCTGCTGGAGTGCGACTCACTTGGAGTACGTGATACCTAAGTGAGTTCTGCATTATGATTGTAGTTAGGGTGTGGATCCAATGAACTTGTAATAAAAGAAGGGGAGAAAAAGAATAAGACTGTATTCTTGCTCCATAATTCTACCATAATGCATTGCTTAGCTAAATTATCAAATGATTATAACCTTCAAATAAATTGACAGGCAATGTACTCTAGGCTAGATAGGTTATTTCACTATATTGACCAGGCCCTATCACAACAATAATTTTTTATTGGGGCGGTAGCTATCAAACTTCCTGTCTTTCATCTTGAGAGTACCCTTTACGAAGGAGGTATGAGGGAGTAAAGGAGACAGTAGAGTTAGAGTCCAATAAGAGCTAAGATTGATTAAATCAAACCAGTAATATTCTTAAATTAATTATTTAAATTTGACGAATCTTTCTAATATCTCAATGAATTTTAGTTCTTATCATCGTATATTTTGTTAGTTGATACTTCATTTCAGTTTGCCCTTTAACGACAAGAGTCCTTTTGACTTATTTCAGTAGTTTTCATTAGTAGAATAATGGAGTAGGCAATAATCAAGAATAAATTAAGAAAGGATTGCACGTTTATATCAATCTAAGGAGTCTACATGTTTGTAAGAGTAACACGATTTCAACATAGTATATTAGAAGAGGGAGGGGTAGACCATAACATGCAAAAACTCTAAGGGCTCGTTTGGCATGGCTTCTACTTATAGAATAGCTTCCATAAGAAATTCTTCTTGACCACGTTTCTGTAAACACTCTTCTAACAAGAAGAAGCTCTTTCAAAATTATAAAAACACGCCCTAAAGCTTCTTCTTAGTCTCAGAAGCAGTTTTTGGCTTTTGAAATACCTAATTCAATAGCGTTACTGATCTTGGTATGGTATACTTTAGTTGCTAAACATGTGATTTGATTGTACTTTTTGGCTGTCAATTCCAAGTTTATTAGGAACAAGGGTTTGCTTGTTGCTTTTTTGTTGTACATGTACAAGTTGATATCCTAGCTGAGTAGAGTATGTGAACTGTTGTAGATCATGGGTATCTTGCAAATTATGTAGTTATGGATTCTTGAATGTATATTAATGATTTCGAAGCAAGAACATAATGAAGAATAAGTGACGTAAGGCTGTCGCTACAGCTCTTTGTGCCAATGAAATCTAAGTATTTATTACAATAAATATACATCTTATGGTAGTACCGTTGCACAAGCAAGTTATTGTTTCTGCTCCATATTGTCTTTCCTAGTCCTTTCAGTAATAATTTGAAATTAGTCAAACAAACTTTCTACCCTGAAATGTGTCCGGAACTGAATTTACTGATTCATTTCTGGATTTATATTTTGTATATGTCTAATTCCTTCGCTGTGCTTGTAATGCTTGTAACTAACACAAACCAATTTCTTGCTGAGCATGGTGCTTTTATAGCATTTAAAGTTTTATAAATTGCTGAATTAACTTGAACTAATATTGTGTTGCCCTACAGGGTTTCAAAGACACAGACTCATCAGATAGCTGCTTTGAAGGAAAAGCAGATGGAAACTCTAAAAGCTGCTCTTGGGATAGGATCTGAAGCTGAAGAAAAAAGGAACCAGCGTGATACTCAGTCCCCAAATTCTGAGGAAAGTGACGACGAGGATAAACCAAGGCATGGCTATAAAAAGGACGATGCTGCTGCTGGTAAGCTGAATGAAACAGATTCAGAATATGAGAAGGATGATATTCAGAAGGGTGTGAAGATTAATGATTCTGAAAGATATGAATCTGTAAGCCAAAGGAAAGGCAAAAGTACAAGAAGAAGACATGAAAAGTCATCTGATTCTGATAGCAGTGGGAAGTACATGAAAGGGACTAAGAAAAAATACAGGAAAGGTAGCAAGGGGAAAGATAATGATTCTGATGTTGATGCTAAGAAGAGAAAGGAAAAATCATCGAGGAAACACAAGAAGAGCAGAAGATATGATAGTAATTCTTCTGATTCGGAATCTCAGTCCAAGTCTGACACTGATTCAGATTCAGATTCAGAATCTGACCGTGATAATAACTATAGGAAAGCACATAGGAGATATGATTCTGATGATGAGTACAGTTCTGATGAAAGCCCCACACATAAAACACACAGTTCAAAGTTACCTTCTAAACGCAGGCAACGTGATTCTGGTGATGGATATAGTTCTGATGAAAACCCTAAACAGAAGACTCAGAAGTTGAAGCGGCATTCAAGGAGTAGGCATCATGTCTCTGAAGAATATAGTTCAGAAGAAGGGAATAAACAGAATCAGAAGGCGAAGCAGCAAGCGAAGAGCAGGCGGCATGATTCTGATAACAAATATAGTTCTGATGAAGGTCCTAAACATAAAACTCAGACAGGAAAGCAGACCTCAAAGAGCAGGCAGCTTGGTCACGACGAGGAATTTTATTCTGATGAGGAGGAAGACAAAAGAAATCAACACAAGAAAGGGAGATATCAGCAGAAAAATAACAGCCCAGAAGAAGATTATTCTTTTCCCATTGACAAGAAGAATGATTCTTTTTCCAATGATAAGAAAAGAATTAGTGAGAGGAGAGACAAAGTTGTTCGAAGGTATGATTATGAAAGTGACTATGATTCTGAGCATGCAATCAAAAAGAAAAAGGAGAAATTTGATTATAGTAGAGGGCGATATGATACTTACATTGATGAAATCAAACCTGGCCATCCCGGTCAAGAGAGCAAGGCCGAAAGTGGTAGAAGGCATGATTTCCATGCTGACACTGATGACCGTAAGGGCGATGATTTCCTTGAGAGCAGAAGGGTGAGAGATCTGAAGCATGCGAAGATTGAAGGAAGTAAGTCCTATGAGAAGAAAAGTAGTGGTCATGGGGATGATTTGAGTGCCAGAGGTGGAAAAGGTGGACAGAAAGGCCGTTCACTTGAAGTTGATGATTATTGGAAACAAAAAAATCAAGCTGATGGATTGAACACATTAAGGAAACTAGGGCAACTTTATGAATTAAAGGGAGATAGGTCAGGAGGTGGAAGCGAAGACATAATGAGGGGCAAGAGAGAGAAAGACGATGAGAATAAGGATGACCAACCTGAGGGGAAGTTAAGAAGGCGGGACCCAGAAAAAGAGGCTGAGCACAGTGGGGCTAAGATTGAATTGGAGAGACATGGCAGATCATATAAGAATAAGGAAGATCACAACAGAGGCTCGAGACTAGATAGATTAAGTGGACATGGTGTTTATGATGGTGAACGTGGGGATATACATAGTACTAGGAACGAATTGCACCAGGGAAATAGGATTGATGATCAACACTACGAAAGTCATGGATCAAGTAGAAGAGAAAAGAGGGACGAAGATGGCTACCGCAGCAAAAAGCATGAAAGGTATGAAGAGGAAGAGTCACACAGGAAGCGTGAAAAGGACCGGGAGCTTCGACAGGGGGCTGGACTAGGAAGAGAGCAAGAAGAGGAGCGAGGAAGTAGAAGGGATGAGAGAGATAGGGTATACACTTCTAAGAGAGCCAGATATGATGATGATCATTCCAGTGGAAGAAGAAGATATGACAGTGGAAGTGATGATGATAAGAAGTCAAGACACAGAGAATAAATACAATTGGTGTCTTGCATTTGGCAGAATTGATGGTATGTTCAATTTTTTGTAAATTCATTTAAATTTGTGCATGTTTATTTTATTCAATCAAGAACTCTTTTCTTGCTGTCCCCCCTTTTGTACTTTACCTGTAACTATAGTGTAGATATAATTACACAAGCTTTTTTAACCGAAGGCATTTTATTTTAATTGAATCTGCTTCTGACTTGCACATAAATGATAATAACTCCCTTCAGATCACGTTGGTTCTTACTAATTTGGTTATATCCAGACAAATGGAATACATGAAATAAGTGCATATCCTATCTTCATTCCTTTGGCAGTCATTATTTATATTAAAAAATTTAATTCCAGATGAGTAAAAACTTTGTTCATCGATTTTCTTTTACAGTTTTTAGTGTGGCTTATCTGGATGAATGCTTTTCATAGCTTTAAATTACCATTACAACAGCCTGATAATGATATCATGGGATATATAAGTTACTTTCTTACGTGAATGCGAATAGTTGAAAGTTTAGATTTATCGCCTGTTGATAATGGGCTACGTTTTGAATATTTTGTTCTTCATTTGCTAGTTTAGATGTTTAATTAACTGTTGCATTGGAAATTTTACTTGTTGCTATATTTACGTGAGGGAATAGCTGGCATACATATCAAATTCTGATGTTATAACCTGTTCATGATTCCAGGGCTGATGACATATTATGTTGGATCATTACTCATAGGATATTCAAATTCGGTGTTAACAAAAGAACAGGTTTTGATAGTTTTTTACCCCTTGTGATTGTGGAATGGTTTATATGTATAATTTGGTTTTACATTGTTGATGTGATGAATGTCATTATGCGGACGCTGTTTTGCTTTGTCTAGTTTGTTTTCGTCAAGCATCTTTCTGTTTACCTGTGGAGGGAATGAAACTGAAGCGAATTGATAATGCTAAGCCAGGCGTGCAAGCAGTTGCCTTTGTCACTGTGTTTTTTTTATGAGGTATTTTCAAGTACTATTAATGTAACTGTGGGTCACCATTGCCAGCAAGCCCTCAGCAAGATCCGGATTGATTTGTTTTAATCGGCACATATAACTCAATGAGTGATTCTTTATCTTCTCTTTGCCGCCACTTGATGGTCTTCCGAATCTCTCTCTCTCTCTCTCTGATGAACAAGCCAACATGACCAGAGTCCCTGGCTGGCTATTTAAATTACTAGGAAGTTGAGGATATCAATGAAGTGTTTTTGCACAAGACCATCAGTAACTCAAATCTCAATCTTAATGAAGAGATTAGCGATATCCAGCTCTTTTACTTGATTTATTCTTTTTTGCTCGATGACTCTAGGAATTGAGAAGCGCTTTTACTCCATCCCGCATATTGTATTACCATTTGCCCTTTCACGTTACATTTACCCACATAAGCTTCGACCATTTTGAGTACATTAGAATTATCTGTAAATTTGCAGAGAAGAATGATTTAAGGTCCAAGATAACAACTACAGATAATGAATACAGTGAAAGAAGAATAATTCACAAGTTCAGTTGACAGACCAGGGATTTTTCTTCATATCTACTGGAAGACGAGAGTCACCCCTTGTCCAAGAAATTGAGTTCCAATAAGGTCAATTGGTATGCAGTCCACCAGTTAAACGAGCATTAACAATTTTGTCTTGAATAGAGTATCATTTACTTTCTTCTACCGTCCTACTTCAGAATCTCTTCTGCTTTCAGACTTGACTGCCACAGATCCTCCAGTTTGGTGATTGGAAGAAATATTTAAATATTTTGTTGCAAAAAATCTAAATTGGCTTCACAATCCCTCTCAATAATCCAGCGAAGCAATTATCTTTTATCGGAAGATTGTGAGTAATCCAAAATGTATATAGCGCATAAATTATTTGGAGAAATCTACGAAATTGCTTGTTCTTTCTCCACTCCTTAAAATTGGTTTTCCCCATCTCCAATGTAACCCTTTTCTCTACGAGCATCATCTCTGCCAATATGAAAACTACTTGGCCCCCTGGCACATGGCCCAGTGGTGCAAAAGACAGAAGTGGGGTAGTCTCAGTATTGCTAGCAGCCGCAATGTGAGGGTTCGATTTCTTAGATATGGATTGGACTTTTTGTGAACATCAATTTACATGTAAGTTCTTGTTCCCTGACCTGTTGAGGCACATCCCACGATTTACCTCTCTACGATGCCCCAGGGGCGGGACGGTGGGAGTTCTCAAGGTTGGGGTTTGATGCAGGAGGATTCAAGTCGAATGATGCTAATTTGTCAGATAGCACGATGATGGCGCTGAGATATCATGAGATGGCGGATCGGCGCAAAGATGGAAAGTGAATCACCATTATTTCCTTAATTGGGGGAATTTGACGCATTTTTGGTAATTTGGCCATAACTTTGGCTACGGTTATCAGAATCGCTATTATGACCTCAATCCGGAAAGCTCTCTTCGGCGCGCACGTCGTGGCCAACCAGCTATGCTCGATGGACGTCAATTTTGAGCCCAAAATTCACTGTTTTCTTTTCCAAAATTCAATTTTAAGTTATTTTTTACTATTTATGGTAATATTTCGTTTCTTTTTTTCCATATGTTAGAAAACTCGAATTGAGCCAAAATTTTGGCAACTTACTTCTTTTACTTAACATTTTATTTTGGTATAATTTTGGAATTTTGCCATTTTTGGTAATTTTCCCATAATTTCATATTTCGCAGCTATTTAACCCGGCTTGTGGGTTAGTTTTCATCATTCTGCATTATTAATAATATTGAGTTGAATTCAGAGTATTTTCTCTGATTTTTTGGACGTTTTCTATCGTTCTTTTCTTGCGAATCATCTGCTACAACAAACCAATAGGATAATCACCATCCTATCCGGCGTCAGGGTTCAACCTTTTTGAAAACTACTTCAGCTGCACATTTTCTTTGAGTTTTGTAAAATAATTTCCTTGAAGATTTTAACCTACTCGAAAACATTATCTCTGCCCTTGAAAGAGTAAAGAGAAGTCATTGATGACATATGGCCTTGGTTACCTGAGGATTCATTCGCCTATCACACTAAATCCTCTCTCAGAATTGTTTACCCACAATTCAAACGGTAGTTTCAAGCAGCCCATAAAAGATGGATCTGAGATTAGATGTCATCTGATTCTGCACGAGAATAAAAGAAGCTTTATTGAGTTCGTTTATCACGTTTACAACTAGAAAACCTGGTACGGAAAAAGCAAGGAAGCCATAAAACTTCAAATGTTACAACTTCGCCCATGTTTACAACTTTGTAGCGAGTCAATGCCCACTATAAAAACTTTATCAAGTCTTAATATGTGAATCCTAAAATCATAAGCCGCTCATCTACTAGTTAGAAAGATGGCACTAAATTTCATCCGACAAGCTCACTTTGAGAACGAGTCTTTCTGTTGATTTGAAGGTAAGAAACACGACCCCTTGATTAACATGCTTCATAGATGTCTAGTGCCGCTTCCTACCACCATTCTTTCTCTTACCATGGCTCTTTTTATCACCCTTCTTTTTCTTCCCCTTGCCAATAACATGTCTGCTGCTCTCACTGTTGGCTCTAGGTGCAGAAGGTTTCAATAAACTTTTCACATCAAGGACACCATTTCTGAAATGACCTTCAGTCGACTTCAGCACTCTCTCCTCCTGACAGCGCCTCTCGGTCGCCTTTTTAGTACCAATAGTATGATGATACCCTCCAAATCTTCCAAGTATTGCATTCTAAAAGAGCAGATAGACGACATGTCAAGACTCGAAAATGTAGCATCAGCAATATACATTAGATAATAGCAATTTGATGTGAAAGTGAGTGTTAAGAACCTCTTGAAGCATTTTCTGCTCTCTTTCCTTTTGTTTCTTCATTTGCACTCGCGCTACACTAAGTGGTAATTTCTGCGTTTTTTGAGGCTGTTCAAGGGGAAAGAAATGGTTAATGCATACAGCAATGTAGATCTTAATGATTTCGAAGTAAAAAGACAGTGTTTACCTTTCCACCAAGAGAAATGACCTTTCGGTTTTCCAAATCCTTCCTCTGTTTCCATGTCATATGTGATGACCCTAAAGCAGCACATAAGTTAAAAACAGACCTATTGGCATGTCTATAAGGTGGATTGGACCATAGCAGAAAGTATTAGTAAGGAAAAAGAAGCCAAAATCTTGATAATAATAGTGTCTAGTCATGTCCAACTATATATAAACATTATCCACAAGCATAGAACTCTCAGTAGTTAAACGGAGATGGTGAAGTCAGCAACTCAAAATTGAAGCACCACGAAATGAAACACGCTTCAAATTCACCAAATCACCAAGTTTACATTTTGGAAGATTCAAATCTCAAAGATAGTAATAGACACACAGCTAACATATCATAAAATATTCAAATAGTACACCGGATATTAAATAATAATCATTCGAAGAAAATTCCTTTACCAGGCAAATGATAACCAAATCACTAAGGTCATGTTTGATAGGGCCAAATTCCATGGAAAATGGAATTCAAATTCAATTTTCCACCCATTTTGTGGTGTTTGATAGCAAAATTTTACATGGAATTTGATTTTCTTGCTTTTCTTGAAAATTGGAATTTTCTTGATTTTCATTGAAAACCAATATGGTGAGAATTGGTTTTCTAGGGTACTGTTTACGTTTTTTTTCCTAATTGTAAAAAAATATTTTTCTTTAATTGATAATTTCCATGTAAAATAAAGTCAAACGAATACCAAAAGATAGATGATTATTTTTGCTCCTTTTTTTTTTTTTAATGGAAACAAATTTTATCTCCAATGCCAGTAAATTCTCTCCCTTTAATCGACAATTTTCATGTAAAACAAAGTGAAACGAACATAAAAAAACACTTTTATTTTAACATTTTCCACGTGAAAAATTACCAATCAACCACAATAATTGACATTTCCCGATAAAATAATTTCTAAACAATTCAATTCCCTGAAATTCGTTTTCTTTCTACCAAAATTCCATCTTTATAATCAAACGGACCCTAAGTTTACATTTTTGAAGATTCAAATCTCAAAGACAGTAATAGACACACAGCTAACATATCATAAAATATTCAAATAGTACACCGGATAGTTTCTTACCACAATGGAACGAGAGACATGACAAAATACACCGCCCCCCAAAAAAAAAAAAAAAAAAAAAAAAAAACCCAGCTACAGGAGTAGAGAAGATCAAGGAGAGCTAATTCCCAAATAAAAAGTATACTACTAAGAAGAGGAGCATTTCGCCGAAATTTTGAATTTGTTAAAGCAACACTGAAGCCATTGCAACTACTATCACAACCCAGTGAACTAATTTCCAAATTGTTAAAAATACAACATGCTACTTTGGTACACAAGTTTTTCTCATGAAAACCATAAAAGTACAGGCTCGTATCGAATAAACAGTGCTCTCTTTTTCACCGTCGATGGAACAATTCAGAACCAATTCTATGTGGTAGAGCATCCTCCAATTGATAACACCACTAATAAACCAACCGTAACATATCAAAAAGTGTACATATCCTTAGGGAGCGACCAAAAATTAGATATTTGATTTGATCAAATAAAAGTTTCAAGTAAATAATAAAATGTTGAATCCTTGGCCAATATTCAAATTATAAAGAACAGATTGACAACTTGTTCTAAGCCCAAATATGGCGTTATTGGCTTCAATCCTAATATAAACTTAGTAATGTCATAGCACTGAATGAATTATATATTAAAAAGCAAACAAGAAGAATTATTACTCTTGTCCTGCCTGATTTGGAAGGAAAGAACAAGAATACGCACAAGCAGTAACATCTTCACCATTAGTTAGGACCAGCATTGGGTTACGTATTCTATTAGCTAAAGAATCACAAAACTAATTAATGTAAAACGATAGTCAAGAGAAATGTAGTACCCAAAAACTCTATATCTTTCATGATGGACTTAATATCCATTTTGGGGGCATCTGGATCCATTTGATGGGATGAGGATCCTCTCTTGGCTTCTTGACTTCTCTTAGGCATCTCTGTCCTGACCCGTTCTTTTATCTGGAAAAAGAAATTTAAAAAAAAAAAGGAAGACATGGAAGTAAGTTTTAAAAGGCTAAATTGGATATTAGGGTGTTCCATTTTCCGCGAGGCAAGTCATAAAACGCCGACACAGAACAATAAAATTATACAAAATGAATGAAACACAAAAATGCAGAAAATTAGCTGTAAACCTATTGAAAATCCATAATGAAACAATTTAATGAATAAAAGTCTAAACTCATAAACAAATGAAAAATAGAATGAATTAGCAAATAATAATCAAATAACAAGAATTCACAATTAAAACTAGAAAAGAACTAATTTAATACACAATGAATAATCACAAATAAATAACTCTAAGTTAGTATAAAAGGATTTGAAACAGAGACTACTAGCAATCAAATTCAGAATCCACCCCATTTGTGAAGACAAATTCAACCTACATGATAAATATGCTGCTTTGCACTCGCCCAAATCCCCTACTTGCAAAGGATCGACCTGTTTACTTATCTAATAAACAATAACCATTTCCCCCAATCCTATCATTGATTTTGATTTTTTAAAATTTTTTAATTTTTACAATTTCGTACTAAAAATAATGATAATTTAAAAGATCTAATAGTTTTTTTTTACAACTGTTTCCATGGCTTTTTCACACTTTGAAAACATTGTATGACAACTTCATTATCAATTTCAAGAGCCAATCTATTACACCATATATAACCAAGCTATTACTATTTCTAATGTCCCCGACAAATATAGCATTTGGGGAGTTAAATATGGCCCATATTGCTTGACCATCATTATAATTCACAGACTACTCAAATCCTTCCACCGTTCTCATTACTTGACGTCTCCTTCTCCTTTGCTTTCCAATGCTTATTATAATTCTTATTCCTTGAATTACCGAATATAATGAATTCAAGGATAATCCTCTTACACTACGATATATTTTAAAACTATTTTATGTAGAACAGGAAGCTTGCAAAGCCAGAGCATCATTTTCATGACTCTACTGGAGTCTAATTCTATAGATTCAATCCCTCAACCTCCTATCCATTTTCCAAAAGGCACTTACTCTTCCCGAATCTTAACTATGCAAATCAGCCCTCAAATTGACCCTCAAGCTTCAATTTTATCAACCCAAATAAGAAAACTTAGCTCTGAACTCTGAATCGAGAACCAGGGGTGGACCCAACTGGGGTGAGTGGGATCTAGAGGGTGCAACTGCCCCCACTGGATTTTGGTCATGGGTATTTCACCAGGTGACATGTTTTCAATTTGGCACCTGTAAATTATGTCTTAACACCTTTAAATTGTACCACTACAATATCCAAAATTCCTAAAATTCTTACAATTGACATGTGCATCTGTAAACGGTAAACCTCAAAGTAATATTAATCAAATGAGTTCCGTCCGTCTAAAAGTAATCTTACAATTGAGATGTGCACCAGTAAACCTCCAATGAGTCAGGTTTGTTTTTGTCTTTCTACTAATCTTAATCTCAAAAGTAAAGAAATGTTCAAGTTTTATACCTATCCTATTCTCCAACAACAAAGTGTCAAAAACCCCTATGTGCTTTCTTTGAGTTACAGTTGAAAGCATGAGAAAAGGTGGAAAACAAATACTACCTAGTGCCCGTGGCCAATATGGCAGTACCCACTTGATGTTCAAGTTTTATCCCTATACTATTCTCCAACAACAAATTATCAAAAACCTCTGTGCTTTCTTTGAGTTACATTTGAAAGCATGAGGAAAAAGGGAAAACAAATACAACCCAATACCAGTGGCCAATACAGCAGTACCCAGAAACTCCATCTTATCATCAATAATAAAGGCAAATTTCAATAAAACAGCCCTATTCAATCCACTTCATCTGAGAAATTCTCCGATGCAATAAAGAGAAGAATGAATACATAGCAATCAGATTTTATACCGGTAGGCAGGCAGGCAGTGGCAGTGGCAGTGGCAGTGGCAGTGGCGTGGCACTAGGGCCGGTCCTGTGATTGTCGGACCCCAAGACAAAGTCAATAAATTGAGTCTCCGGCGAAATCAACGTAAATACAAAATTTAACGGTATATTATACGACCTATTGCTAACTTAAACTAACATTAAAACAACAACCAAATATATTATAGAAAATATTTATATTATAAAATAACAAAACTAACAATGTTTCGAACAATTAGATAAATATTATTCGCCTTGCTGTTTTAAACGCAAAAACATCAATAAAATCTGAATAATTTAGCTGCTCAACCAATAACCAATCATATAAGCCGACAAGGCTTCAAACGTTTTCAATCTCTTCAATAGTAAGTTAGGGCAAGCCATTGTTTACCAGAGAAGTGGATTTTCCGACGAAAATTGTGGTATTACACCTTTGAGAATTTCACCATCACAACTTACGAGTTTGAAAAAAAAATTTAAATAAAATTAAAGATTTTAATTATAGAGTGAAGGAACGTGTGTGCCAAGTGTGGAAGTGCAAATTAAGAAATCGGCATAATTGACTAAAGATTTATACACTACTTAAGATCCTTTTATATTTGTGTTGTGTCACAAAATAGATTGTGCTCTTTATTTCTAAATAGTCATTATGATACTTTAACTTACACATTATCAAATTTAAGGAAAAATGTAAAATTAAATTTAGGGCATTGCCACATTGTCGCTTTGTAAGAAGTTATCCAAATCAATTCCTTCAATTAGTTATCAAATTCATTAACTTGAAAGGGCCTGAAAAGTGTAAAAGTTATCCAAATCAATTTCTGGCTAGACTCTGGCTTCTGCTATAATTTTAAGGGCCTGAAAAGTGAAAGCTGAAAATGTTAACTTGGATAGGGACCCAGACCCAGCTGAAAATGTTAAGCTTCTGCTTGCCGTGTAAGTGTAACCGACTAACCGTAATAGACTAATAGGAACCAAAGCCTTTTATCAACCAAAAATAAAATCTATGAAATTCTACAAATGTAACAATCACATTTACATATAATAAAGACAACCCAGTTGATAAAATTCATCAAATCAATGGGAAAATTTTAGAAACAAACCGAAGAAAGGAGACAACTAGACAAGAAGTTGTTGGAGGCGAAGGCGAACAGCGTATGGAGAGGACGGGCGGAGGGGGACTGGCGCCTGGCGGGGTGACGGGAGTTGCAGAGACGAGACTTCGACGGTTCGTCCGACGAGCAGCCGCAGGCCCTGGAATTGAATTTGAGACTGAGACTTGGGAATTTTGGGTCTTGGCATTGAATGTTGGATTGTCGATAATTGGATATATAAGTTGGGTTGGTAAATAGATTAAGGGTAAATGGGTCGTGGGCTGTTCCGTCTGGGCCTGGCATTGTTTTGAAACAATCTCCCCCAAAAAAAAAAGGGGAAATAATTATAACTCGGTCATTTAGTTTATACCAAATCGCAAATCAGGTGCATAATTTGAAAATGCAAAACTCAAGTACGAGGTAATTAATTAAAAATATTTATTAATTAAATAAAATAAGATCACAATTATACAATTATTGATCACATGTACATAATTACAAGTCACAGCTTATTTATTAGTTATATATTATCAAATTAATTGGTCATAAATTATTTCGAAGTCAGAAATAAATTTTTTTATAGGTCATAGTTTATTTAATTGGTCACAAATAAAAAAAAATTATATGTGACATTTTATCTATTGGGTCACATTTTCTAATTTATTTGTTACAGATTATTTTTTTACTCACAAATTATCGAAATTTAAGGTCACATTTTAATATTTAACCACATAGAACTAAATAATTAGTCACGTACACCCAAGCACCTAATCTCAATCCCGATTCACTACCAATACTTGGTCACAAATCAATCAAATAGTTGGTCACAAACACTCTTCATCCCATCTCGTCACTGCGCCACCACCTCCACCGCCACCGTCACAACCACGACCAACAATAATAATAACACAACACCACTGCCACCAACATCACCACCTCACCACTATCACGACCATCACCACTCAGATTTGAACCCACACCATCACCACTGCCCCTGTCGCCACCACAATCGCCACCATCACCATCTCATCATGCCCTCAGCAACCAAGACTTTCCCTTTCACAGTCCCAATAGCGATGCTGCACAAGAAGTTGCTACAATGCTCGCAACACCACCACTTAACAACCACAAAGGAACCAACACCACTGCTACCTCACCACCACACCGAAAACAAGTAAAATCACCCACAACTAACATCAAAATAATAGCAAAAAATGAACACCACCACCGATCTGCACTGCAGCGACACTGTGCTGTTCATGGTCATCGTGCAGCTTCATCGACATTGCGAGCAGCACTGTGAAACGGCCATCACAACGAAGCACCGCTACACAGTGGCGATCGAAGACGGTCTAAGTGAGCACTGCTCAGCAACGGCGGCCATGTGCAAAGGAGAGGATAGAGAAACACAGAGAAAGAGAAAGGGGAAGAAGAGGGAGAGCGTTGCTCGCTGCTCATAGCGATTAGTTCCGTTGTGATCTGGCGACTGCAGCCATGTAGAGGAAAGAAGATAGAGAGAGAAGAGTGAGAACGCCACTCACTGTGACGAGCTCTGTTGTGATCCAGCGATGGCAGCCTTGTAGAGGAGAGAAGATTGAGAGACAGAGAGATAGAAAGAGGAGGGGAAGAATTGGGAGAAAATAATTTAGGGTTTTAATTGGGTGGGTTGGGTTATATATATTGAAAACCTGATTTTTGAATAAGTTAAATTTAAACCTTATATTTGAACTCCAATCTTTAAACACTTGTATGGACATAATTTCCTCAAAAAAAAAAAAAAAAATTCTGGAGCAAAATAGGCCCCCCAACGGTCTTGGGCCTGGGGCAGGCTTCACTGACCTCGCCTTAGGGCCGGGTCTACATGGCCCGATGTCAGCGGACGGCTGAGAGAGAAGTGGGAAGATAGAAGATGGCGTCGCCAACGCCAAGCCGTCAAGGTATGGGTGGGTAACGTGGGTTTCACCTTTCTCTGGTTCTTCTCGCCTCTCAGCTCTCGCAACCGAGACAAAGGAAAGGAATTAAGGAAGACGGCTAAGAAATTAGGAATTAGGTATCATAATAATAATAATAATAATAATAATAATAATAATAATAATAATTTTGAGGCCCTTAAATTTTTGGGCTTGAGGCATGGGCTTCACTTGTCTAGACCCAAAACTGGCTCCGTTTAACCTATTACAGTTGAGGGGTGGCCAGTTTTTAAGGCAATGTGAAAATCGTAAACAAGCGCAGCAAAAATTCAAGAAAAAACCATCAAGAAACAACAATGTTAGAAAAAATAAATAAATTATAAGGAGTTGAGTTAGAATTAAATCATTAACAATCAGATCGAGTGAGATTTCAACATATAAAGCCCGTTTTTACACTAATAAAATCCGGTAATACCTTCCAATTTTGTTGACGAGGAACTTGAGTGGAAATCAGTAACCCAATTTTAAGCTAATGCTGAGGAAGAAAACGGCCTCCCGCTTGTCCCTCTTTGAACTATGAATAAGACTTGGATATACACACCTTTAATAGGGCTTTAGAAGCCCATTCTAATCCATTTTCCAGATGGGCCTCAGTCAAGAAAGTAATTAAAAAAAAAATTAAAATTAAAATTAGACCAATGGAATATTTTACTTTTGACAAATTAAGAACCATCAAGAAACAACAATGTTAGAAAAAATAAATAAATTATAAGGAGTTGAGTTAGAATTAAATCATTAACAATCAGATCGAGTGAGATTTCAACATATAAAGCCCGTTTTTACACTAATAAAATCCGGTAATACCTTCCAATTTTGTTGACGAGGAACTTGAGTGGAAATCAGTAACCCAATTTTAAGCTAATGCTGAGGAAGAAAACGGCCTCCCGCTTGTCCCTCTTTGAACTATGAATAAGACTTGGATATACACACCTTTAATAGGGCTTTAGAAGCCCATTCTAATCCATTTTCCAGATGGGCCTCAGTCAAGAAAGTGATAAAAAAAAATTTAAAAAAATAAAATTAGACCAATGGAATATTTTACTTTTGACAAATTAAGTACTGATAAAATATGTTGAGACCGATTGACCAATAATGCAGGAATTGAGATTTAACGAATTTCACTTGTTGTAATTGAAGTATTGAACAAGATCACAAATAACCACGAACAAGATTAAAGTAAAGAAATAAAAGAACTGGCAGAGGAACGATGTTATTTTATTAAATCAATGAAAAGGGAGAATTACAGCAATAATGGCTTAAACAATACTAAAAGAGGAGCCTTGTATTTATAGTATAAAATCTAGCTTTAAAAGAGTTCCAAAAAAAAGTAAGAAATCTAATGTAATTTAGACTCCTATTTGAGTCACGCTTCTAACAAAATAATCCTTAAATCAGATATTTAAGAATTTAATTAATTCAAAATTTTAGAATTTCGGTCCTCTTTTTTTTTTTTTTTTTTCCTTACATTTCGGATAAATTTTTTCAAAATTATGGTAATGTAAAATATTTTCTCCTTTTTATCGTGATATAGAAGGAGTATGACTCATTCACTTGATTTGTACTAATAAAAATTAATCTTTATCTTTCAATTTACATTGCTAGAGGACTCGTTGTCATAACTTTGCAATTCAAAATGATATGACTCATACGAACTATAATTGTATGTTGCTAAACGTTCCGTCAAATGTCCATAACAATTATTTTTAACCACCAGTTGCATTTACATGAATTATCACCACATGAAATTATTTCAATTCTATGAGATAGCAGTAGTCATCTCACGTGAACTCATGTCATATGAATTGGTCGTAGTTATGCAATATAAAAATGAGTTAAGAGTCACATTGCTTTTTATTAAGTAGTCCTTCCAATACCACAACAATTACATATGATCACATGATAGAAGGAGTCATATCCCATAACTGAAGTCACAACGTAGCTTCAATGTTTCTTCTCGCTATTGTAATGTCTATCCAATATTGTGGAGATTTCAATTATTGGTGTCCTCGACCATTGTTTTTTTTTAAAAGAGAAAATAACTAATTTTCTTTATTGTAATTAAAAGAAAGAAAATTCATATATCGACAAATTAGTTCTCATACGAATCTTTTAATCAAGGGAACCTATCAAATAGATTTCAATATATATATATATATATATATATATAATATGATTTTTGCAATTTTGTGAAATGTTTCTCATTTTCTCAAAATTTAACGTTAACTATAAAAGTTATCATATTTTTTTTTTCAAATAAATATGTGTCCACTTCATTATGATTTGATATCTAATATTGTACACAGACACTATTGTAATAAAATAATTGTCCAAAAATATGCTTTAACACAAGTTTTATAAGTTAGTTGACCGTAATTATACTAATTCACACAAAATAGTATAACATTTATTCATTTGGGAAAAAAAATTATGGATAGACTAAAGGTAATTAGAAATGAAATATAAGAGAGATTGGAGACAGGAGTTTTAAATTTGAGTACAATGAAATAGTATTAAAAAATGTGATAGTATCAAAGCACGCTGTGATGCAAGAGAGAAATCGCCTTCATGATAAAGACTAAAGAGTGAAAATGTATGTATGTAAACAAGTTAAAATTATGTGATTCTCAAGTTTTGTCCACTAATTTTGTCGTTTGATTTGTTAGTTTATGATACTATTCATTTGATCACTATTTGAATTGAACAAAATATTTGAATGATGCTGAAGTCGAGTGCATTGTTTTATATTTGAATCCTTGATAGAGATAATTTATGCTAGTATGGTATCAATTAAAATCTAGATTTTAATCTAAATCAAAATTAATAATTAATTTCAATCACATATTTTATGGATCCCACAACTTTTTAACCATATATTTCATCAATCTATATTAAAATCTATTAAAAATCTGATTTTAATCCCCATTAAACATGGGCTTAATTATACTCAAGAGCCATTGTTAAACGAATAGGGATAATTGATTGTCAACACGAGCATGAATATAATTCATAATGGGAACTGAAGAATTGAAATGTATTAGTATTACTTGGTAGAGTCAGAAACCTAATGTCTATTTTTTCTCTAAACCTAGGGATGTCAACGAGTCAAATTGAGCCGAAACTCAAGGATGGGGCTTGACTTGAGTAAAAATGGTTCTATTTTTTTTTTTTTTTGCCCTAGTCGAGCCAAACTTTTGCTCAACCAAGAAAATTTATACTTGCCCCAAGTTTTTGGCTCAGACTTTATTGAGCCAAGTCGAGCCGACTTATGATTTTTTTTTATATATTATAAATAGGCAACCTTGTTGCCCGAACTACCTCTTAATTATTATTTTTTTTTTAAAGCTTGGCTCATCATGGGCTGGAAAGTCACGCGGGTCGGCTCGAGCTCAAGCCAACGTTCCCCAAATGGCGCTCGGTTCTACCGAGCCTCAAGCCGGCCACTGGGGCTTTTTCCGGGTCGACGAGCCAAATTGACACCCATATCTAAACAACTCAACAAATTTTTCCTTATTTTTGTAGAAGTGATAACATTTACTTATCTAAACCTTCGAAATTTGTGTGTAGGACTAAAGTTAAGTTTAATTAATCAAAGCTAAATTCTCAATCCTAAGAGATGATACTTTTCTCACTATTTTGATACTTATTTGTGACATTGTGCACTTACACAGTTTTAGTGCAACGACAACCCTTCCCCATCAGTGTATCACTCATTGCAGCCACTTGCAAAGGCCTCAAGAAAAATGTACCATAACCAAAGGCTGTCCATTCACCATGAATGAAAAGCTCGATGTAGAAATAAACGATTGTACTAGATGTATGAATTAAGAAAAATATATATTTTATTTATTTATTTGGACAGTGTGTATTCCAATAAATCTGAAATTAATTGTGTAGACAGATTTTCACTTCAAATAATACATTATTGCATTTATTCTAAGAAGAAGATAGATAGGTTTTTTTCTCGAAATATTTCTCTTAAATTAATTTCCCGTCTTTTTCTTCATGTATATTTTTATTTTTCATGGGTGACACCCTGCATAATGAGATCTTGTTGT